AAGGCAGGACACCCACATTGTAGTTTAAGCCAGTCATTGCAAAAATGATACACCTTTTGTTTGGGGATGTGACTCTGTTCAAGTTCAGGAGCAAATGTGAGCAAGGTTGAACCAGACAGTTTGAAAAACACATGATTAGTGAACAAGATAAATAATGAATCATAGAACCTGTAACGCAAGCAGACACGGCATCATTTTTCCGGGGTTATAAAACAAAAAGGTCGGGAATCACTGTTTTAGTCCATGATGTAATGACAATATTCAGATGGGCAGGTCTGCGGGGTGCTGAGGTTTAGACTGTTATCCACCTTTTTGCCATAATATCTGTAATGCACCTTGAGAAAAGATTGGAGTGATTGTATTCCCTTCCTACATGTGTATTGTGTGCAAATGGACATGCTAAAAATACAATGCTCTTGACCTGAATGCATTGTATTTCTATATATCCCCCTCATACTGTGGATGCAGTTAATGGAGGGCTGGCTAGAGGAGTGGGACTCACAGATGGTGCCAGAAAGCAGAGGGAGTATTCAAATGATTCTTCACAGTTTCAGAGCTTAGAGATGCTGCAGCAGCACCAGAGAACATTCGCTCTGATAAAATCTCACATATTAAAAAGCGCAATTAACGATTATTTCTCCAGAGCAGCGCTGCGTCTACTGTAACAGGAGCTTAAAGTGTGTGTGTGTGTGTGTGTGTGTGTGTGTGTGTGTGTGTGTGTGTGTGTGTGTGTGTGTGCGCGCGTGTGCGTGTGCGCGTGTGCGTGTGCGTGCGCGCGAGCGCGAGCGTGCGTGCCAGGCATTGTGCAGCAGCAGCCTCCACCTCTCGGGTTACTGAGGAATGCATTTGAAGTCAATCACAATGAAGCTCTCTATCTGCCCAGCTAGCCCTGAAGGGGGTATCTGAACTGAACCAAAGCAGTCAGAAAATCAACTCAAAAAAAAAATCATTAGGTCACACACATCAACCAGCAGTGTGTGTCTGCGTGAAACCCGATTTGGTGATTAGCGTGTCTATATAACTAACTCTGGCTCTTATTGTTATCTGACTTCCTGCATCTTAGTTTGTTAGCTGAGCTGCATACGCCCATCGTTTCTACAAAACACACACCGTTGGTTTTATCTCTCCTGCAATCGTCATATAACCTTCACACAGACACATCACAGACACACACCTTCTCATCACCAGGTTGCTATAGTCTTGCCATTTTAATTTCACACAATTACAATCCTTCATTTATTTATTTATGATCCTAAATTAAAATCTGGAACAAATCAGCTCCTGTGGAACGTTAAATTCTGTGAAACCGCGGAGTTGTCAGCTCAGGTATAAAATCCAGGTTATTGCCGCTGTAAAACGAGCTGACACACCCACACACCCACTCACCAACTGACAGAGCAACTATAGAGAACAGGATCAAATATATGGTGCAATACCTGATGTCAGCTATGGATCACATTTCTACCTGAGTCACTGCAAATGTTGTAACACCGCTCAGAGGACGCACCTATGTTCGCTTTGTCAGAACATGACATGACCCGGCAAACAGATTATTTCTCAGACTCTGTCCTTCAATTTTATGTTTCCCCCAGTCTCCTTTTACCCAAGTATACATAATTATATATCCCAATGCTCCCAGATTGTATAAAATAACTCCGACTGGCACCACATGTCTTACAATGGCAGTACTTCATACGTTGCCAAGAACCAGGATTGCTCCGCAGATGCAGTGGAATATGGCTGTCATCCTACAGTTTCCTTTTATACCGAATGGGAACAAAATACAGTGGTGGAGGGAAATTGAGGGCAACATACAGAAGGTTTTGGCCCCAGGTTATGCGTGTGGTGGAGGGGAGCTAGTTGTGTCTCGTTGTGGTTAGGCAGCTATGTGGCGCAGGCAGCTGCTTATAGCTCCTAAAAACTGAGGCAAAATGCAAAGCTGGCCATTTTCAACTCTCCCAAAATCACGTAAAAACAAACCCACACAGATCGGTCTGAGGGGCAGTTGTGTGTGCATGTACACACAACTCAAACCTATGATTATACCCACAGACACACACGCTGTAATTACCCACAGTGACGCACGACTGCCCGCCATACCATGAATTCACATGTATAATATCGTCTCATAAATTAAACATGTCGAGACACAGAGGGTGATTACATATTGCTGTTAAAGGTTAGGATAAATATAGATGATGCACTTTTAAAGACAGAAAATGGGCAAACAGCAGCCACAGCATGTAGTTTATGTGGAGGGTGTTGTGTGCATAGGGGACTTTAGGGAAGGGGCCCCTGGGCCAGGCTCTGGGGGCGGGGTGTGTGTTTATTTAAGTTGGTGAGTGTGTTTTTCGGGGTCACGCTCAACTTATGTGGGCTCGCCTCGAGATAAGAAACTGTATTTCAAGATGAAAGGAAAATGGGGCGAGGACGGGGATATACTGAGAGTTTGTGGATCCAGAGGGGGAAGATGGTGGGGGGAGGCAGAGAGGGAGGGACAGGGAGATAAGGGGAGCTGGAGGAGCAGACTGTTTGGATGTTAGTTTTAAGGGTTGTTTATTTGACGTTACATAACACCTTTGCTTATGTAGCCAGAGCTCTTTTACTTGTGTGTGTGTGTGTGTGTGTGTGTGTGTGTGTGTGTGTGTGTGTGTGTGTGTGTGTGTGTGTGTGTGTGTGTGTGTGTGTGTGTGTGTGTGTGTGTGTGTGTGTGTGTGTGTGTGTGTGTGTGTGTGTGTGTACACAATTCGCACCACACAGGCTAGCAAAGGGCCTCAGGATGGGCTTTAGATTGCTGAGGAGATAAGTTTGTTTTGGCCAAATTTTCAGCAGTGGACCGGCTGTTTTCTGATACCTGGAGCAAAACTCAGCCCTTTGTTCTTAAGAACGCAACATTGAACCACTTAGCATGTACTGAGAGGAATCTTGGCAAAAAATGCAGCATGGAAGAACCTTTCAGCTCTTTTACTTCAATAGAAGTAGCAGCAACACACTGTAAATAACATATTACAAGTTACACAAGTAGGCATTTTACAAAATATTTAACCTGATGCGGTATCGAAATAAAAGTTCCCATTATGCATAATGGCTCCTTCCAGAGTGTACTTGATATAAAATATGAATCATTCTTAATAATGTTTTTAAAAAGTTGTTTTTGTCAGCAGTGATGGATGATCTCAATCACTTATTCTGTATACTGTTAGGTTATTTAATCCTAGTCAAAGGTTGCATCTTCTGTGTGTAGCATCTTAATCTGTAACATTACCAGAAACTATAGCTGTCAGATAAATGTATATGAGTGAAATTATGAAGTACAACTGGAAAATATACAAAAAAAGTACAGGGAGTTCTTAATTGTACGGTACTGAACTTGAGTTAATGTACTTCAATTGGTTAAAATCAACCAGTGACAAAATAAAAGAAGATAAAACATTTAAAATACTGGTAAAAATCATTAGATAAGAACAGTTGTTTAAAGAAATGATCATCTACAGGAAATGTATTTGCCTAAAATACTTGAAAGAATGCACATTACAAGTACAGTAACTGATTGAAACATGTCTTGAATCACAGAGTGGGCTGCATGTCTTTGTATCTTTGCCCCCGCAGTACGGGCGGTGTCTCTGAAGTGCATGCATTTGAAAGCAGCAGTGAGTTGAGCCTGTGTGATGGTGAACACTAAAGTGTGTGTTTAAGCATCTCAGGGATGTGGGATTGAGGTCAAGAAAAAGAGATGAATGAAGAGAGGAGGGATCACACTCAAAGTGACCGGAGGCTGAGGTCACTCACTTCAGAAGTTCAACCCTGAACGATCCACGACTAATCTCTCATACCTGACCCCGACAGAGGTCCTGCTTCCCCCTCACATCAACATGATACCAGCCCGGGTGAAGGTGCACAGATTAGCAGCGAGGAGGCTGTGTGAGGATCCATGGGAGACTCTATCAGTCAGGAAGAGTCCCGTTTATCAGTCAAATGTGCTGTAGATGTTGTTCATTAGAGACACTGATTCTATCCCACACAAAGTTCAAAATAGTACTGAAATTATTTACCAGAAACCATTTCGATCATAGATTTTTGTAGGGCATTTTAACAGCTGCTCAAACATGAGGTTTTTCTGCTTTTGTACTTGAAATTGTGACATTTTTAGCGACACTAGCAAGTTTGATTTATATCCAAAAACCGTACATATCCATCAGGAAGCACCTTGTATTGCAGCTCCTGCCTCTTTATGAATGGGGTGTGAATGGATGAATGATGACTTGTGTAAAAGCACTTTCAGGAGTTGTAAACACTGGACAAAGCGCTATATAAATACAGTCCATTTACCATTCACCGTCAGCCTTACCTTTATGTTATTTTGAGCACAAATTAGCATGAGCTCACAGCAAAGAGTTCACTGTTCTCTTACGGACAATTAATGGATTGTTTAACAAGGAAATAAGGCCATCGTTTTGAATCACGAGTGCCAAATGTGGGATTTGTTGCATTTTTCAGTTTGATGTCATTGGACACTTAAAGTATTTGTGGTTTATGCTGTTTATCGGACAAAATAAGCCATTTAACAAATTATTTCAGCTTTGGAAATGTGCTACAAGGATTTATTCACTATTTTATAACATTTTATAGTCCAACATTTGATAAATCAAAAAGAATATTGTGAGTAGCAGCTTTAGTTCAAAAGCTAACTGCCTCTCAGTGCTCTGTACTACTTTACAGGCTGAGCATCACTTATAACCGACACGTAGGCAGAGGCTGAATGAAGCCCCTCTCTCCTTAAAGGCTTTGATGTTCCTCTGCCAAAATCCCAGCTTTAGATCGACTCATTAACTATGTTCCTCCATGGAGCCACAGTCAGACAGATGTTAGCCTGTCCACCATAAAGCTGCCTGCAACTCAGCTGTGTGCGTGTGTGTGTGTAATCTGACAAAGTGGTTTCTCTATTCAAATGTAATGACAAACATGATGAATAATCTCTGTGTTCTCTGTGTCTCTCACAGGCACAGACTTGGTCGCCCCCTCCCGATGACGACGGCTCGGCGAGAGACGACATCTACGACGATGACGATCTCTACTCAGGCTCCGGCTCTGGCTGTAAGTGTGTGTGTGTTTGTGTTTGTGTGTGTGAATGCTACGCACTCATGCCCTGGTTCTTTCAAACTCGACAGCTGCTATGTTTCAATCTGCTGACCCTGAAGACCCCACCCCCCCCTTCTGTGTCCTCGAGTTATGGTCACTCTGGTCGCCAGACTCACACGCATTGAGCCAACGCACACACAACCGCACAATACAAGCCATTTGGCCCACATCACAGTTTTGGTGCAGATTTATTGAACCTTTAAACAAAGACGCGCCTTTGCAAACAAATGGACAGCCTGAACTTGATTCCCTCAAGTCTTATTTGCGCTAATCAGATTACAGTCCAAATAGATTAGCAAATTGTGTGCACCTATGTGCGAGCAGGTCAGTGTTTGAGCGAGCTGGCCGTCTGCGTGTTCAGGAATGACCTACTTAACGTAAATCATGTTGGTTTAATTCAGCCTGATTTTTCCGTGATCTTGCTATTGAAGCCTGAGCATGGCCCTCCTTATTAAGCATGACTCATTAAGGGCTGCCCTCGGTTCAGACACTGCGCTAGTAGCGAGCGAGCTGAAAATAAATTACAATTCAGAGCAGCAGAGGCACCCCCTGTGTTTGAAACAGCAACCCGGCAAATTGCTTTATCTCAAACTGTGATACAGAGCCGTCTTACTCCAAAGGAAAATCTCATTTAAAACAGACGGATGTGCATTTTGAGTCACTGCTGCGTTAGACTGTGGCATTTTGAGGTTTCTGATAAGTTTTACAGTAGATGCATTGTTCGAGTTCATATTTTGATATCCTCTCTAGCTCCTCTGTCAGCCTTCATGTGTTTGTACCTGTAAATTCAATTTGTTTCTCTTTCAACCCAGGGAGCTTCACTGCTATAACAAAATGGAAGGTGGTATAATACTATTATGAGATTCAAGAGGAGAAAGGATCATCGTGTCTTTTCCTTTGTTCCCTTCTCTTCTCTATACGACGTGTCCACACTAAGCTAGCTCAATTTGACAGCCCTGTTTACGAACATCCACTTTTTTCAGGTCATTTGCTGCAAAAATCAGTCTATAACGCATTAGCAAAAAGAAAGCAGTTCTTCTCCTCTTCAGTCGTTCAACGCTTAAACTACACATCAAAACCGACATCTGGAGAGGAGAGGGACAGACAGCCTGGTCTCAGTTGGTTAAATCTCTGTTCAGCTCTCCATGTTTTAATTCAGCCGAACTCATAATTAACGGTTGTTGTTCTCATTTACATATTATTCTGTTTGTGTTGTCAGACAGCTAAATTAGCAGAAAACAGAGATTTGATTGCATCTCTGATTGCTGCGCTGCCGTTGTCAATAAAACCATTACTTTATGATCCCGAAGTCATTTGACAAACAAACAGAGCTCTGCTGTGTGATTGGCTGTATTGACTTTTAATCTGAGTTATCACAAAGACGGGACAGATGGTTATCTTCTTCACGGAGCAACGTTCTGATTTTACACATAAAGGTCCCTTAATGGTGTACTGGGCAAGAAGGGTCTCGTGAGAAATGGCAATATTGGTGCATTATGGGAATGCAATGTTGTTCCCGTCAGGGGATAATTTCCATAGATGTTTACCTTTTGACCTCCGACGCAGATGCCCAGCCTTGAGCAGCCATTAGCTCCCATAAGGAACGTCTGCCCTAGCATGTGGTTGTTGTTACCAGTTTACGACCGGGCAACTCTTAGTCAGAGATAGTTATTGTTGTGGGACACCTGGAACACATCCTTCTCGGGGTGTAGATGACCTCGAGCCATAAGTGACAACAAATGTGATTCAGTGTCCTCAGCTGTTTAGTCTATCTATTGAAGAATGTTGATTATTACACTCTGAACTAGTTAATACGTCGAACTACAGAAGGGTTCTTCAGAATTGATTGTGGCATCTCAACCGTGTGGTCAGATCGTGGCCCGTGATATGTCGTGTGAATTCTCCGGCCGAAGCTCCAAATAAACCGTCAGTGTTTGCCATCAAAGCTCCAGGTCTCTTTGTGTCTCTCTGAGTCCTGTTTCCAATTGCTTCAGAAGTTTTCCCCACAGTTCCCAGCCTTTTTAGACCTTGACTCATATAAGTGATTAAAACTCATGATATCCCGGCCCCTGCTCAACAGATTTAGTCCATAGTTTTTTGTAGCCTGTGCAATGTAAATCCCCCAACATACTAAAATGCTCGACTGCCTCTTAACTTTACAGAGCCCTCGAACAGGCTTACATCATCACTTTACAAAAGCTTGATTTTCCCTTCTCATACTTAAACACAAGGCAGGTGTCTTTGAATTTATTCTCTTCAGAGGGCCAATATGATTTCCATTTTGGAGACAAATAACGACATATGTGTGGATATAAGTCAACAACAGGGGGAAGGAGTAGCATCATGTAGGGCTTGTTGTATATGTGACATTTGTCCGTGTAAGGGTAACATCCATAGTTTGATTCCAGGCAGGGATCTTGTCTGTGCCCATCTTCCACACTCAAGTCCTGTGGCAAAAATAGACTATAATCTTAAAAAGAAAAAAGTTGTTTGCATCCACTTTATTTATGTTGTTAAATCTATGCACAACAAACAAATTGTTTGTGTTCTCAAAAATCCCCACAATAAGAAATGAAAAGGCAGCATTGGTGGCATGTTCATACCTTCTGTTAACACAGTTGAATGCTTCACATTTTAAAGATCCCCCCCCAAAAATACGGTCGTGCAACACTGCACCTGCTACTGAAGGTGACTTGTAAGTGTCTGAAATCTCAATTTACAGCTCAGCAGAGAGTAAATTATTGAGTGTTTGTATACAGGGAGTAGTAAATGAGCGTCTAAGGGATTGATTTCAAGCTCAGCCGCAGTCTCGGTTTCTGATTTACTGAGGCTGTGTGTGTGTGTGTGT